TAAATGAAACCTAGATAAGATATAAATACATTACAAATTAAATTAATTAAGTAATTGCAAGTATCAAAAAATTATAAGATTCCTAAAAATATAGAGTTAAACTAAAACAATTGCGCGCTGAAAACAGTATGTTTTAACGAGTAAAGTTTCGGCGAACAAATCGATATTTGTTGTATTTTTATCAAAATTTGTAGAGTTTTTATGGCTAGAAAGCGTAAAAAGTGTAGAAATATCTCCTTTTTATATCGGAAAACTTAGATAAGCCCTCCCCCCGATAATGCCAAAGAACCAAGCAAATTCTTTGAATGTTTCTTGAAATTAAATGTTTTAAGCTAAAGCGTATCAAAATCGGGCTTCAGGGGTTGAATTCCAGGATCGGACTACTACATGATTTCCTCAAAAATTCTCTGCTAGCCACCCTCTGCGAGAAAACCCAATTTCCTTGATATTCTCTGCTAGCCTGCCCATTTTCAGGTACCTGAAAATCATCGTTTGTGATGAGGAGCTGTATGGAGAGTGTGCGGTTACGGTCAGACAGCAGATCTGGCTCAAAAATGGAGATTTATTCACGCAAACCGTTGCCCCTGTTCTCGCGCAGTATATCGTTGCCAAACGGAATGTGGGTTTGTTTGATAATTTATTGATATCTCCCTCTCGCTTTGCGTGTCTCTCTCTCCCTCTCTCTCTATCTTTCTCTCTCGCTCTCTCTCACGCTCCATGTGTCTCTCTGTCGCGCTCTCTCGCTCTCTCTCTCGCTCTCTCTCACTCTCGCTATCTCTCTCTGTCTCTCTCCATTTCTCGACTCTGTCCTAGAGTAACACTCTCTCACACTCAGTCTCTCTGGCTCCCTCTATTTCTCGCTCTCTCGCTGTCTCTCGCTGTCTCTCGCGCTCTCTCTCGCTCCCCTCTCTCTCACTCTCACGCTGTCTCTCTCTGTCTCTCTACCACTCTCTCTCTCACTCTCCCGCTCGCTCTCTCTCGCTCTCTCTCTCTCTCTCTTCCCCTGATCACTCTATCGCCTTATCATAGGGCCGTATCTCCTTGTATTACATCTTAACTTTTCCCGGCAACCATCACCTTTTTTGAAACATTGATCTCGTACCAATAATTATTTTTAATAGATGTTTAAATGAACTAATTAATCCCATTGAGCAATTACTTGCAGTTGGAATGCAACATTGACCCGTCGACCACCAACTTTTTCAACGCGGAAACGACAAAGACCCGGCGGCAACAGCCCCAGGTGCAAGGTTGGTCTGACTGATTGGGCTTTAAACGATGAATTTAAGTGTAAAGTTTTAGAGGTATGAATTCGGATTTTGTTGCCTATAGAAGATGCCGCGTGCGACACCTAGCGCACGAGCCAGTAAAAAAAAGAGCAAATAAACCTAGCCAAAAAAAGGTGTTTCACTACACAACCTTCATAAAATCGAAATATCGTGTTTTAATCAGTTTTTTCCTCCGAAATCGTAATCGCAGCTCCCAGTAATCTCGTACGGCTCTCTGAAGGCCATAAAGCATTTTTATAATCGTTTACACAGTTTTTTGATATATAAAGCATCTCAAAAATCAAAGAAAAATTAACATTCGGAATTTTTAGTGAAAATTTAGCAAAAATTAGCAGAAAAAGGCTAGAATTTTTGAATTTACAAAATTTCTAAATAATTTTTCCAAGATTTTAGCACTTAAAACGAACTATAAACGATAAAAATACGTTATATATTATTAATGGGTGGTAAATAGGGGTAAAAATAAGGTTTATTAAATAAAAATACGCTGTAATTTCGCCTGCGAACTCTCGCCGATTAATTAAAAATATCGAGCTCTGGTTTTGAGAAAATTTTAAACATTTTTCTCCTAGGAATTTTGCTGGAACACCAAAAAATTGTTTCAGCAAATTGCGACTATAAAATCGACAGTTTAGCAATTAATGCGCGGTGGTTTAAAATTCGAAACCAATTTAGAATTGACGCAAATGATCGGGGAGCACGAGCAGCTGTACGAAAAAGTGATGGAGATCATCAAGGCGAGGTCGGTTTTCAGGGAGGGCCGGCTAGCAGGGAGCATTTGTGGAATTCTGGTATCTAGCAAAAAACGACTGAATTAAAAAATCTGCCGAGAGGCATGCTAGCAGCGATTATTGGGGAAGTCATACCCGGCTAAAAATAGCTGCATAATTTTCAAGACAAGCTGGCAGAGACAGTTTTTTGAAGCTTGTAGATACTAGTTGACAAAGCCTTGCGGAATCCTGGTATCTAGCAGAGATCATTAGGGGATTAAACAAAAACTCTATCAATTAGTCTAAAAAAACTCAAAAACCAAAAATCTAAAAATCTATCCTAAAAAATCGAAAAAATTTTAAAATCGAAAAGTTTTAAACGTCTAATCGATTTTACAAACTGAAAAAATCTAAAAATGTATCGAAAATGCTGAAGTAATTTGATTTGCGAACCAACCTAGCAGAGACAATTTGTGGAAATCAATAATCCGGCAGAGACCATTTAGGAATTGAAACCCAGCAGGCGGACTAGCAGGGAATTTTTAGGAATCAAAGTGCAATTAAAAAGAGCTGTTTCAGTCCGAGGGGAAAACCTAAATCTAGATCTCAAAATATAAAAATATAAGAAATATAAAAATTTTAAAAATCCGACATAATTTTTAACATACAATTGTTCTAAAAGTGTAAATAAACCAAAAACGTGTGAAAAATTCTAAAATCCTGTGTTGCCAAGGCAAACTAGCCGAGACGATTTGCGGAAAGCTATTAGCCAGCAGAGACCATTTAGGAATTGAAAATCCATTAGGGCAAACGATCAGGGACTTTTTAGGGATCAAACTCTCGTTAAAAATTAGCGGCTTAATTACTGGGGCAAGCGAGCAGAGGCCAGTTAGGAAAGTTCTTAGTTAAAAAAATACGTTTCTAGGTACGCGGAAACCGGCAATGCCCATTTCTGCTCGTTAAAAATGGAGCTGCTGATGGCGGCCCACGACGCGAACATCGAGACGTCAACGCGGATTGGTACGGAATTTATGAAATTTTATGCTAATTAATTATTTAATGAATTAAACCGGTGTTTCGGTTGATTTTTTAAAAGCTGGAATTTTTAAGATTTAATTTCACTGCTCACCCCTCCACGCATTAAACTAGTAAAATAGTTCCCAACCAGTTCACACACCGAAACATGTTTCTTTCGCCCAAAAAATCGGGATAAAATCTCGAATTTCTCAAGGTTTACTTACAATTAATCGTGAATAATTACTACTTTAACATCCCTTAAAAAGTAATGCTTTTTGAGCGAGCATTTTAAAGTGAGCCAGAAATAATTTGGTAGGTCGCAAAAATTCCTAAAATTTTAACTTTTAAAAAAGCCAAATTTATTATTATTAATATTAATATTATTAAATTTTGAAGCTTTTGGCGAAGGAAATTTAATTATAAAGCACTGGTAAGATTTAATCAATCAATCATTCAATTAAACTATTAAACTTCAAAATAAATTACTATATCGCAAGCTACACTACTAGAATGGATCCGAAAACATTTGTGGACCTAGTTTCATCAGCGAAACATGTTTCCGCTACTCCAAAACTCGAACCGGCTTGACGTTTTTCATACAAACTATTGAAAAATAAACTTTGTAAATCTCTGTAAATATATTTTTTTTGTAAATTCTTCTACATTTGATCCGAAAAACTAAATTTAACGCTACTTAGCAACGGTAACGGATTGTAACCTAAAAAATTTTTGGATCTAGGCTCATAACCGAAACATATTTTTTATACAAATTTAAAAAAACGATGTCTATGTCTTTTTGCAAAATTTTTTAACATGTTCTATTTGCAGACCCGGGCTACGAGCTGGCGAAATGCCTGGACGCCTGCGTGCGCGAACGGCATATGGACAACAATTTGGCAACCAGGTTGAGAAGTGCGCTGGAAAAGAAATTGGAGCCTGAGGTTCGTTTTTTCCGTATAATATTTCTTATTTGTTATGTTTGTTAGCCGGCTAATATTATATTTACCCGTAATTGTTTTTTGAATTTTGTGAGCATAATCGACCACATAATGTATTTGGATCTAGACATTGCTATGAAACTTATTTTCCACTTGCAGGGGATATAAGCCGCCTAAGATAAGCTTATAATATAAGGAATATAAGCCGCCTAGCCATATATAATATCTTATATGGCTATTAATAAAAGATATATAAGCCTGTAGCCTAGTCTTATTTTTGTTTCTTTTTTCAAGAGGCGATTGTCTTGATGATAATCCGCCCTAAATTATTTTGGATCTAGGTATTTCTTCGAAACATATTTTTCTCATCCAGGAATTGGCGGATGTGGCGATGGTGGCCTGGGACACGCACGTGGTCCATTTTCTCTGCTCCATCATTGTCAAGGTAAAAATTTTTTTGGAGAAGCCGGTCTTATTTAAATCAAGCTATTATAGCAATTATCGAAATCATTTCAGAAAAACCGATGTTTCAGAGTTTTCAAGCTTCTACCTTCCGTATTTTTGCCTAGTACGAGGTTGAGGGACGCGATTTATCAATTTTTCATCAGGAAAAATGAGACTTATAAAGTCGTTATTTATAAATAAGTAAATACAATAAAATTCTAGGTACAGGAAACCTGATACCAGCTTTTTTCAAAAATTTAAATGTTTAAACATTTTTCATCCGCTAAAAATTCTAAAATTAATTAATTCTCGATCTTTCCGGAGATTTTTTTGCTAGGCGTTAATTAAATATTTATTATTTCTTAACTACTGATAGTATTAGTAATATTTAATAGCAATTAGAATTTTAAATAATATTTATTTAAGCTTCTCCGGGATTCCTCAGCGCTGCCGCGCGACTCGCAGAGTATGCAGCTGCTCATCAAAGTATTGGCCCTGGGCGCTAATAGTCATGTAAGTCATTTAACGTATAAGTTTCGCTATTTTGTGCTAAACCTAGATTAAACTTCAAATTCACTAATTTATTGTATATTACTTGGAGATTAATTTTGACTAAAAGCTGAGATGCTCACAAGAAAAAATGTGTTTCTTAAAACTCACTGATTCGAGGAGTTTTTCGATGAGAATTAACATGACATTTCACGACATTATTAACATACAATTTTAACCAAAAAATAAAAATTCCTGAATAATAAATTATTAATCAAACATATTTAATATCTTAAGCAACTTAAATAAATTCATTAAATAAATCAAGTTTCAAATGTTTGGGTCATGCCCTGAATTTTCCCCTGACTAATATATGTCGAAGTCGATTTTACCGATTTTCCACAGTGAAATTACCTGAAAAATTTTCATTTTTACATTAAATTGGCTACAAAAAATGGTGAATTCGGCCTGACTAAAAGATATACATAAAAAATAACAAAAACTAAATTACACCTGGAGTAAAACGATAATAAAAATTCTTGCGAAAATAAGTTTCAAGAACTTTGGCGCTGCAGGCTATTTTCCCGGGGCTAATGTCATCTCGCTGTGTCTCGCTAAACACAAAAGCTATCAGTCTGATTTGTTGAGGAAAAGATGTAACATTCTTTTTCAATTGTCAAAAGTGAAATTTTGGTCGAAATCGGTATTTTTTTGTGTTTCTCTAAACGAAATTTGTAATGTTTTTAAAATCCACTTTAGAAATTTTTGCGCTATTTATATTTGAAAAATTGGATCCATAGAAAGTTGCTTCCCCCCCTCCCGATAATACACCAGAACGGAAAATTTTTTAAAAATTTACGATTGGAATAGCTATGATAAAATGGTGAATTCCACATAGCAAGTTTTAATTAAAACAAATAAAAATGCTTAATTCTTATTTAATTAAACTGAAAGGCTTAAAATTGGGAACAGCATTAAAAAAAAGAATGTTTCAGAAAATCGTCTCCTCGCCCGAGACAATTCCCAGCAACCTGATCGACGCGATATTTTTCACGAAATTCCTGCCAACACTGGGGAAAATGGTCGTGGAGGACGTGATGCGGATTGAAATCGCCAAGGGGACAAGTGAGTTTTAGAAAATAACAAAATTAATTCACGATAACAAAAACCACCGTTTCAACAATTTTCAAAATTCAAATATTTTACGAAACATTCAAAATTCACGCCAAATTGCGTGAGTGCGCTAATAACACGTACCAGGCGAAATTATGTATCTTATAACTACTCCTCCACTCGCAATACCATATTAATATTGCATTTATAAACCTGAAACTTGTGAAAAGTGTTAAAATCAAACTTGAAAGGAAAACGGATCCACCGATCAATTGGGCGACTGCAAAATTCCGCTTCCCTTAATTTCTAAGAAACATGGAAAATTTCCCGAAAAAGTGGCATTTCCATAACATCGAAAAGCATTCTCCTTCTTCAAATGTATTTTTGCAGAGTTGAATTTCCAGACTGATAACAGATTAAACCTTGACAAAATCCCAAAAACTCTAATTTTTACGAAACATCGAAAATCCCGCGAAAATTGCCATTTTGGACAAACATTTGGGGTCCGATTAGAGGAAATACGGTATTTTAATCATATTTCTGTTAAATTGAACTATATTTCCACGGGAAAACTATCTGAACAGCTTTGAAAAATGCTTCAAACTTGGTATTTGTTTCGAAAAATACCTAGCTTTTTTGTGTTCTTTAAAAAAACTAACGGTTTTAGGCCTATGAAACAAGAAATTGAAATTGGCCTCTTTGATTGATTAAAGGCTGACAACATCTCGAAAACTCTAAACTTGACGAAACATTGAAAATTCAGTGAAGTATTTCTGACAAAATCCTACTATATATAAAAAAATAGTGTTTGTGTGTGTGTGTGTGTGTGCATTTGCATGCAACTTCCGTCCGTATGTTCCAGTCGTATCTCAATAGGGGAGGAAGTTAAGGGTACGTATGATACGTCTTTAGGTGCGTAATGGTCATGACACGACTGCACGCATATGAGATTTTAAAAAATAGCCGTTTTCGGTATTAAAATTAAGTTTTTGTGAAAATCTCGCTCGGCCTCTTTGTTAGGAATCAATTTGCATGCACCGGAAGTGGGGGAAGGCTATATAATGGCGGAGAGGACGCGCTTTCATTTTTTGCACAGGAATCCAGGATTTTATGCAAAGTGATGAAGCATGGGGGTTAGACGGGGGCCAGGGTTGAAAAGTCGCGAAGCGGCTTTTCAACCCTGGTCAGGAGTTAAATGAATTTGAAGTTCTGCTGTCACTTGCATTACAAAAATACAAAATGCCAACGCGCCGGAGTTTTACGAAACATCGAAATATCTCCGCGAAATTTTTTGCCCTTAACGTTATCCTTGTAGAGTTGAGATTTTTTGAGCAGACAGATCCGATTCCATATTAAAACGTGACAAATTCCCAAGAACTCTAATTCTGACGAAACATTGAAAAATCCTTAAAAAATGACATTTTTGTAGAATCGCAAAATGTTGTACTTTTAGGTGAATTCCCATGATCTTCTTTCTTCTTTTTTATCAAACCTTTTTCACATTTTTCATAGAGGAAGTGTTTGTAAGAAGTTTTGTGCTATTCCTAACCAATAAACGTTACAAATTTTACTAAAATCTTCATAAATTGATCGATATTCAGACCTAATTTTAACAATTTTGCAAGTATTACATTGATTGGTTGATTGATTGAGGGAGCCATTTAATAGCCCATTAACAAAATTTCAAAACCTTGGATTTTACGTAACATTGAAACTTCGTCGAAAATGAGTCATTCATATTTATGCAGGGTGTCCCAAAAAAAACGAACCATTTGGCATTTCGCCGTGTTACATCCAATCGGCCTCAAATTTGGACCAGAGGTGTATCATACCCTAAATAACAACAATTCTGACGTATAGCCCTGTAGCTATAGTAGTTCTCGAGTTATGGCAAAAACAAAATTTGTTTTCCATTTTCATAGGGTTTTCGTGGAATTAGACCCCCTAAACATCAAGTGAAAATGATCCGGTAGGCCTTCTTTAACTTAAAAATTTTTTCCGGATCAGAATTCATCAGCTAAGCTTCGAGTTAAGCGATTTTTACAACGCAAAATTACGCAAGTTCTGGAGCGAAATTAAGGATTCACAGCCGGAAGTCGATGCAAATCGATGCAAAGTCCAAAAAGATAGCCGAAAAAATGTTAGAGAATTCCGGGAAAAGCAGTATTTTCGTTATAACTCGAGAACTACTGTAGCTACGGGGCTAAAAGTCAGGATTGTTGTTATTTAGGGTATGATACACCTCTGGTCCAATTTTGGGCCCGATTGGATGTAACACGGCGAAATGCCAGATGGGTCGTATTTTTTGGGACACCCTGTACATTTAGATTGTGTCTTCGTAACGAGATGTTGTAAAAATATATTTTAGTGGACGTCAGCGAGGAGTTCAGCCACAGCACCCTCCTCAGCGAGGCCCCAGACGTGGCAATGACTTTTGTGAAGGCCGATGTACGTTTTTGCTCAGATTTCGCGTAATACGATAACCAAAATCTCAATTAACCCCGAACCCGGAATTTTCTGATCGTGTTCGAAAAAATTGTTGAATTAAATATTAAATTAAATAGAAAGTAATTGAATATCACAGGCCCCAATCAAACCCGGAAATACAAAATAATTATCACATTAGAATTCGACTCCGGCGCTGAAAAATGTTTCTGAAATATCCTAAGTTTCAAATTTTTCCTCTAGCACAATTTTTTTGAGGATACAAAAATTGCATTCTTGTTCGGAGAATTTTTGGAGGTTACGGCAGTAATTCCAGATGTGCGCCTCGCTGCTGTGGCTTCACCAGATGATCGAAATGTTTCCGAATAAGAAGAGAGGCGTCGATATGAGGGGATTTTTACGATACGCTCGGCATATGCACGAATTGAGGGGAAAGGTGTGTGTGTGTGTGGGAGAGGCGATAGCTATCTATACTAGATCCATAATTATACATGCTACCTTATGCCATTATTAATTTAATTGAAATTTATTAAAATAATTAATTTTAGTCGAAAACCATTGGCAGTCAGGTACGAACAATCGAATTTATCATTAATTATTCCAAAAATTGCGGGATCCTTAGATTATTGAAACTCATTTTTCTAAGCCAGAAGCAACTTTAAAAATGATTGACACTCTTTTTTTCTAAGTGTTCGATAGAGGGTGAGTGACTCCGCCTGGAAATTGAGAACGAACAATAGGCGAATAGCGCAGACCTGTAATTATACATGATCATTCGATTCATACCACACTATTAATGCCATCCGAAAAATCAGAAACACAAAATACTTTGCAACATTTTGATTTCACGATTTTTCCGCGCTCCTGCCGCGAAACGCCGTGGATGCGTCGTGTGTGGCGTGCTCAAAATACATAGCAAAAAATCCAAAGCGAGCTAGCAGACTTCTTTGCGGAAACAAAAACAAAACACAACGAAAACTACGCAATTGTTTCAAACAGAGATTTTTAGGCGTTTTGGGCAGACTATACTGGACGATTAATCCTTATTAACTCTCCCCAAATCGCAACATTTTTTGAAACATCTCGCCTGAACCAGATAGGGCATGCTGGCGGACACTTTTTAGGAAAAAAGTTGTTAATAACCATATCGCCCCCTGGCCACACATAACTACTACTGAGATAAAAATTCTGAAAACAATATAAATTGTTGAAACGCATTTTTGCAAAAAATCGCTAATTTTTCAGTTAGCAGTGCACGGGCCGTGGGGCCATTTCCTGATCCACCGTATGATATCGGCCGCCATTTCCGAGGGGATACTTGCCGATGACGCCTGCTTCCGCATCTTGATCGATCGGCTGCTAATCGAGAACTTAAAGGTATCCTGTCTTCGCTGATTTTATTTTCATGGTAGCCATTAAAGCTTAAAAATATCCCCTGAATTCGGCCTTTCAAAGTTATATTGAAAAATATAATTAATAGCTTATTTAAGCGAGGGTTAGTGACGATGTCCTGACCACTTGCTATTGGCCGCATTCGACATTTTTTCGCCTTCTTAATGTTTGAAACATTTTTGGCTAACGGGACGCCATGCAAAAGTACAAAAAAGTAGAAAAATTTGACATCATGATAAAGATAAATTAGAAAAGCAATTTTGAATTATGGTGGTTGATTTGAAACAAAATTATGTAAATAATCTTAAGAATAACCCAACTCCCTAGTTGTAATTATATAGCTGATGAAACCAATGTAAGCTGATGAAAATTCCATTTTCCAAATCTTCTGGCATTTTAAGAAAAGTTGAAGCATTTTTTTCACTGGAAAATTTACCCGTTTTTGATTATCGGTTTTCTGTAATTTAATAACATACTGTACTGCAGCAGCAATACTGCAAACACAACAAGATACTTCAAACGCTATTTCTGGTTTCCCTTTTATTTTGGTTATTTTAAACGGTTTCCCATTTTAAGCGATTGCTGACTAGGATTAATTTAAGTTTGTGAGCGCTTAAATCTTGCAAATTCTGTCTTTAACAGTCTATACAAGAATATATACCATATACATCTAAAAGGTGTCTTTCAACCATTATCACAGAGCGTCTCATTAATCCTCGGTCAAAAATTTTGAATTGTAGAAATATGTGAAACATTTTTTTGCCAGAGAAAATCATGCAAAACTATAGGGAAGCCGGTACTTAATTGCAAGAATTTTTAAATTTATTGTTTTGGTTTAAATATCACTATTATTTATTAACTTAAATTCACTAGATAAATTCAGGAAGCAATTGTGTCCACAGTATCGCTTTCCAGCTTTCGTTGGGTTTCGAAAGTTTTGAAACACGTCTTTTTAAGATGAACTAACGCGAATGCAGCAAATTATAGACAAATAAAATTATAGTTTGTCGTGCAATATCAAATTAACTATTAATTCGTGATTTAATAGGGTATTTTAATAATTAGCTGGTTCTGGAATTTACTCTTATCAATCTGGCTTTTGATTCTACTACTATTCTACTCAACCTTTTGCTATTTTGAAAATGCTATAAAACATATTTCTCTTAGGACGAAAAACTTAAAATAAGGTATGTACCGTAAATAAATCTACCGATTTGGAAAAATATTAATCAACCTTTTTAATTAGAAAATGTAATTTTTTTAATACTTTTATACTTTAATACATTATTTTTGTTGTCCCATTTATTTTTAAGGATTTCCAAATGGAATTTTAGCTCTCGAAACGACTCTCCAATATGTATTACCGCAAGCTTCGATATTTTTTGTTATATTTTAACTCAAAACATCTTTTTTTTAGGAAGAACCCAACGTGAAATACCATCTTCTGCGTATCGTCTACCAATTACACGGCCAATTGGGCATGCAGAAATCGAGCGAGCTGATGGAGCAGATTTCCCCGGAGGTATATAAAAACTCTATAAAAGTTTTAGCTAAAATTAATTTAATTATCTTTATTTAATTTTATTTTATTTTCATTGCAGAATCTCGGCGAGCTACCGGAAGCCGATAAGGAAAAATACGAAAAGGACTACAACAAAACCATTGAGCGCATCACGCCAAAGGTATCGGTGAATTTAAAATCGTTAAATAGCTTGTTTTCCAGGGCCAAATCTAGCTAAAAAACGAAATTAACTTAATTAACAAAAATTAATTAACTTTTTGGTCTCGATTTTAAAACTAACCAATTTCGTCAAAACACGTACTGCAAAAACAATGTTTTAAACAATCCCTAAACCGCGAACAAAAATTTTTAGCTGATCAACATTTGGGAACCTGGAAAAATTAATTTCCTACTTTTTTATACGCTTGTTTAATTAGCCTTTAGCGATTAGTTGCGTCAAAAAGCATAAAAAAATAACCATAGTTGCAATTTAACAATCTAAAAAAATTCCAAGTGACTTGAAAAAATAACTCGTTAAACCGCTATTTTTTCCATTCCAAATCTAGCTAAAGAACCCGTGAACTATAACTCTATGAGTAATTCAGCTAATTTACAATAAATTAGACCTTTTGATTCCTATTTTTAAACCTACTGAATTTAGTAAACAACGCAACACGAACTGCAAATAAATGTTTTAATGAATCCCTAAACCGCGAAGAAAATTTTTTTGGCTAATTGACATTCGGACTTATGGGAAAAATTAATTTCCTACTTTTTCATACTCTTATCTAATTAGCATTGACCGATTATTAAGCATTCAAAAGCTTCAAAATAGCCATATTTGAACAGCAAAATTGGTTAGCTGTCCCCAAAAGATTAAATTTTTGTTACGAAAAAATGTTTCACCTAACCGCAGTTCAAAGAAATAGCGTCTCATCGTATTATCTTGTAGAGTTCGCTATAATACATACGTTTACTACTAAAATAAATTCATAAAAAATAGCATAAGAAAATAAGAAATTCTTTAGCCGGAAGAAGAAGCACCGCCCCAGCCGATGCCCCAGATGACCCCAGCCCATCCGATGATGGGGCCGCCCACTGCGCAGAAAATCGGTAGGATTCCGTCTAAAATCAGATAAAATATTAATAAAATCAACCTAGTAATATATTTATTATTTTATTTATCCTTTAAAATAGCATTTAGCCAGATATAGAAGACCAAAAACCGTTAAAAATTATACAAACTGACAAGATTTTGGCAAAAAAACAGAATTTTTGAAGTATCTACTTGCATTTTTATAGTTTTTACGCTTGGAAACGATAAAAATACTCAAAAAAGCTACTCTTCTGAATAAAGATTAGCTAGGCATAGAACATTTAAAAAACAGTTAAAAATTACCAAAATTATGAGGTTACAAAAATATTTGCAAAAAAAATAGAATTTTTGAAGTACTCACTTGCATTTTTATAGTTTTTAAGCACGGAAATGATTTTAAAAAAAACTAAATTTATTATACAAATTCACCCCAACGCATTAAAATCGATATATCAGCAATCCCAGGCCCAAAAATGCACCCGTCGATGACGCCCGGGCCGCGGCAATTCGCTACCCCAGGCCCAACACGCCCACAATTCATGACGCCACGACATTAACCGACATATTGATGCGCCGTTACTAATCTTAAAATGATCCTCACAACTGGCTTAATCCGATAAACATTCCGTTTTAACTGGCTGGGCCAGGTTTTCCATAAACACCCCAAAATCATAAAATAGTCGTGATATGTCGGATTTTTACCATCTAGGTATCGATCGAAAGCTCTCGGAAATACCAGTTCAAATGTACAATCCGATCTTTGAAATTCCGGCACTTTTGTCCACTTACTAAGATTTTTATGAATCGCCGATACTTTCCCCATAAAGACCTTTCGAAAAATACACACTTTTTGAATGTTCACCCGTTGTTGGCGGCCCCGCGGGAGGTTTTTCACCACCTTTTAAAAAACAGTTTGTAAATTAACTGGCTATTGTAGAAACACGCGCATCTTGTATAAAAAACGCCGAAAATTCAGGACTTTCCGCATGGACGAATTTCGAAAGTCGAAGGTAACGCATCTGCTCCGCTCGCTAACAACAGCTTTCGTTGATATCTAAATCGCTAGAATTGGACACTACTATGGAGCGCTATAGGTGCCGTTTTTTTCTAACAACAGCTTTCGTTGATATCTAAATCGCTAGAATTGGACACTACTATGGAGCGCTATAGGTGCCGTTTTTTCTAACAACAGCTTTCGTTGATATCTAAATCGCTAGAATTGGACACTACTATGGAGCGCTATAGGTGCCGTTTTTTCTAACAACAGCTTTCGTTGATATCTAAATCGCTAGAATTGGACACTACTATGGAGCGCTATAGGTGCCGTTTTTCCGGCACCTTGTAAATTTTAAATTCGATTAAATTTAGGTGTTGTAACGAATTTGAGGGATACTTACAGACAGGACACGTGATCAGGGACCTAGCGTAATACCGGCCCCGCCCCCGAAATCGGCCGGGGTCCGAAAATTTCATAAGGGGGGACCCTTATGATTTGGATCCAGGACGCAAGGCCAAGATTTCATAAGTGCAGCTTCCTCGGTGCCATCTGCGCACCTGCCAAGGCCTCCCCGGCGGCTATTGATAACATTTTGCCGCACTAATTACCTAACAAAATCTTGGAAATCTATAGCAACGGCTAATGATAATAAAATTGTAAATAAGTATAAAATTTGGAAATACATAACTGCAGGCGCGAATAGCTTCCCAACTATTTTGGCATCAGATGGAATAGCTTTTTGCTTAGCAGAGTGTACTTCATCAGCGATTTTTCGGGCTAAATCTGATGAAATAAAACCAATGCCGCAGAAAATATCTAACAATCCATTGTTTATTTCGTAAATAAAAAATCCCGTAAGCATTTAAGGGGAGCTTTTTTTTATCCATTTGTTAGCAAAATGTAATTCAACTCGGGCAGCTGAAACTCGTTAGATCTAATTAAGCCAACGCAAAAATTAAAAACTGTATAATCAAAGTAATAAATGAAACCCGGAGACCCTGGTGTCCAGCGTTTAATCATTTTGCTAATCCAACAACCATGATATCTGTACAATCGTGATACTGAAATCTCCAACTGGATTGCCATTTTACCATGTGCAAAATTGCCTCTATTAGTTTTACCAAGACACTGTGTATGTATAAAAATTATTGTCTTCAAGAACTTTCCGATCATCCTATGTATTTAAACAGTTTGTTTCCTATTATTATTATTAGCCGTTGTTACGGATTTTCAAAATTTAATTTAAACATTTTTTTCTATTATTATTGGCCGTTGCTATAAATTTCCAAGACTTTGCTAGGTAATTAGTGCGGCAAAAGGTTATCACTGGCTACCGGGGAGGCCTTGGCAGGTGCGCAGATGGCACCGAGGAAGCTGCACTTATGAAATCTTGGCCTTGCGTCCGTCGCCCTTATGATTTTTCCTTGATCAAAAATTTTGCTGCCTGCGGCGCTGTTTTCTCGTTAATGTTTTGAGTTTTTGGGGGGCCGTCGAAAGTTTTTTTGGTTACCCGCTGCACGTGATTAAGAAATTTTTAAATTGAATAGTCCGTTGTTTCGATGAAACCTTTTCTTTCTTATTCTTTCCGGGACTGAGCTTTTTGTTAAGCGCTATTGCACTTCCATGGAGATGTCGTGCCAATATCGGCATTTAACGACGTAACGACGTTACTAACCAATTCAAAAAATACCAGATATTATCTGAAAACAGAACCAAGGAGACTGATCAGCAATGAACAAATTGCACCTTTATTTGCGCTCGAAAAACCTGATATAAAAAAGTGAAGAACGAGAGGAAACACGCAACGGGTGATGACCGAGGAGGAGAAGGAGCAAATCGGGGGAGATCACGTTTTTGAGCAGCGCGAAAAATACAAGAAAACGACGAACGGCGCGCGAGGACACATCACAATGTACCACCTTTCTGAAAGGGGTTAGGAAGTGAATAACGGGGGGCGGGGGATGGGCAAAAATCAGCTAACAAACACTAGAAGCTCTCTAAAAGAATCTATTCTAAAAAAAACGGTAAAAGCCGGTGAAAAACAATGGGGGAATAAGGCACGAAAACGACACTATAAAAACGGCAGGATTTTGGGAAGTGGAGTCGAATTATCGTTGCGAGAGCCGGGACACCATCGTCTCGGCGCGCGACTCGATCACCTGGAAATGAAAAATACATTTCCTAAAAGCTAAAATAAAAAGCTTTGATGGAAAATCGGGAGCTTTGGCATTATCGCGGGGGTATCAGGGAAATCGACTTTTTGTATAAGGCCAGAAATATCTACTAACATCCGGACGTGGCGTTAAAAATTCCGATTTGCGGCGCATTTTTTAGCCATTTTGTAGTTTGTATTCAGCGAAAATGACCTATATTACAAACGAAAAACTATCTGAACCCCTAATAAAAAATTTGAAATCCAAAATTTTGGCCCAAAATCGGCCGTTTTGGATAAAATCTGTATTTTGTCGATTTAACAAAAACATTTTGTAAGTTTTTGAGTTTAGGAAAAGTAAAAAATGTTTCACAAGGGCATAACAATGCTGCGATCGTGGATTTCGTAGGCGAGATACACGAAGGAATGTACCGTCCAAATATCCTCGGCCAGCTCGACCTCGTCGCCGAAACGGACGCGCTCCTCGTTGAAGATTTCGCAGACGAGTTGGGCGATCTAAAAATTGGCAATCTAAACCAAAAACTCGCCGGATATCATACCTGTTCTTTAAAGTAGTGGCACAGCTCCTTTCGCTCTTGATTTGTGCCCAGCAGTCCCAGGGTCAGCGCCGGGGAGACTGTCTGAAACACGAATTGGCACTCGAAAACCCGCAAAAACAACCCATGGCAATTAGCAAACGCCGATTCTTCGTTTAAGTTTAGAAATGCCTGTTAATTTAATCGGCAGTAATTTATTAGTATTTTTAGATTTAAACTTTCACTGATTTAAACTAGAAAAACCATTTCAAAACTTTTTGAAAAGTTGAAATTGAAAAATTGGACGTTTCTGGTTGAAAAATCGATATTTCGTGCCCTTTTAATAAAAATTTGTAATTTTTTGCATTTCTGAATAACACAAAAGTTAGGAGAAAAAAAAATAAGATACAGATCTTTGAAAAATTTTATACCAATAAAAAAATTGAATTCCATAATGCGAAAGAACACCTTTTTCTATTAATTATCAAAATGATCGACATTTGCCAATCAAGATAAATTACCTCCGAAATATCGTAGAAATGGGCGATGAAGCCGGCCGATTGGACGAGCCGTTGTCGCTTCGCCTTCAGAAGACTCCAAATGACGGTCGAGATCGTGGAGTACTTCATACTGGAATAAATACATAAAATGAAAATAAAATGGCCAAAATACCTTTCCGAGAGCCAGCTATTCCGCGTGACCGAATAGACGGATGACGGAGGGTTCTAAAAGCACCTTCATCTCCAAAAGCGAAAAAAGCACCTTGAGCTCGTCGAACGCGTCGAGCAGCACGAAATCCATCAGCACGTCCCACAGCCCCAATTCGTGGACATTTCGCGTTTTCAGCTCGTCCTCGGCGTCCTTGCAGTTGTCCTCGTCCTCCAGGAACGTCACCATCTTGTCGTAGGCCTAAAAATACACATTTTTCCTGGGATTTAAAAAAGCCCCTTATCCCGACGCACCTAAATCGGACTTTAATGATTTTTATACCATTCGAAAGCCCAGAAAACCGCGCGTCTACCTGCATCAAAATATTTTTGTTTCTAGTGAAGAACAGTTTTCTGTTCTAAAAACTAGCGAATTTTTAAAACAAAAATCTTAGATTTCCAGGCGTGAAAAGGGCGACGCTACCTCAAATTTTTACCAACTCTCCGGCTTTTGCCAGTAAAAAGAGCAACAAACATGAGAAAAAACGCATTTTTGGCAGCAGGCAATTCCTGACAAAAAATTAATTGCTAAAAATTTTTACAAAAATGGTCACAAAAACAGCCTTTAAATAAAAACATTCTAATTGTCTTCTCACGTGGCAGTTTTCTGTGCCTTCGAACGGTATAAAAATTAATTCGATCAGCCAATACGCAGTAATCCGGCCAGAATACGAGCCTTTTTAGCACTTTTCAGCGTTTCATCATTGGAAATGCTAGTGGAAAATTGTCTCCCGGTTGGTTCCTTCCGGTTTCCGGTTTAAATTTCCATGGATGACGAAGTCGGCACGAAATATGATGCAGAAGATATCGCCCCATTCCTTACCCTATAAAACGCGGCCGGGTCCTGTCCGCAACTGCTGAGCAGATCGCCGAGCAGCTGACGGCCCGCGCTCACCAGCCTCATCACTTTTCGCTCATCGGCCGTCACTATCTAGAAGAAAACATCGACGAAAAAGTGCAGAAGAATTCTACCTTGAGCGCTTTCCGGATGCAGTAGACCTTGGCGGCAAAGTCGTCCGGGCTGTCGCAGTGGCAGTCCTCGAACCGATTCTGGCGGATGTGAATCTATCAAAAAATAGAATTTTAAAAAACACTGCACACCTTTCCGTCCTTGGCCAACTTCAGGCCAGTCTGGTAGAGAATCAGCTCGTTCTTGTTGACGTCGTACCTGTAAAAAATATATAAATTTTATCGATAAAAAGTGGCAATAACCGTTTTATATAATTTTGTATATAATTATATTTTTACATTGTAAGTTTTTCATTTTTAACGATAGGCAAAAACGCTACAACTTTTCATAAAAAACTCAAAACATTTAATTTTTCGATCAAAATGTCAACTAAAAACTATTTCTAAGTTTTTAAATTGTTTTCCCATTTAAAATAGAGTTAAATTTTACTAAAAACCATGAAAATGCTTACTATCACATTACTAGACATCTCTGGACTTATAGGAGACAATGAGAGCTCCCCGATAATGCGAAAAAAGCGCAAAATCCCTCACTTCTTCTCCCAATCCTGGTCGGCAACGTTGATGTCCTCCAGCGCCGACATGAACGAGTCATCCGACAGCACCGACAGCGAGCCCGACCGGCCGCGCGTGACGCCGTGGAAGTGGCTGTCGATGGAGAGGGCCTCGCACGCATAGCCGGCTGGAGCGTTGGGCACGATCTAAAAGCACTTGGTTTTGGAGTAAACTTCGAAATACCTGCGCCAGATCGGTCTCCAGAATTCGGACTCGGGCCAGGATGCTTCTGAGCAGCTCGTCCTTTTCGCGATCTTGGCCGGCGAATGATTGGATGGCCTGAAACGGGACGTAAATGGTAGATTTCGGTCTAAAATAGCGTGGAAAAGCCAGCATTTGTCCCCCAAATCGATATTTTGCCAAAAACAACCTAAAACATCAGGCTTTTTTTCGTAAAATTTCGTCTAAAATGAGTCAGAGTCACTCAATGCTAGAATGGGCCGAAACTGCCATGAAATTGAAGCTTTTTCCATAAAACTTAGCTCAAAAAGGCGTAGGCGAGTCCAAAGATTCAAGCAAACAGTTACAAATCATTTTTAGACCTAAAAATCATAATCAGACTCCTTCAGACTAGAAAAAATCCCATGAAAACGTCAATTTTTGTCGTCGAAAAAAGTAAAATCATAAATCAAAATGTTTTCAAAGGCTTTTCCTTTTTGAAATAGGCCCAAAAACTATACGAAAGCAGATTGCTATTTCATATCGCTAGTTTCCGCATTGTGGAGCATTCTTTCATATCGGTCAATAGAGGATTTAACGCCACAGTTTTAAATTTAAATATAAGACTTAAAACTGGGATAAAGAGACGAAATTAAAGCCAAGTGGACGTGAAGATCAAGCACCAAAAAGCGGAAAATAAACCCAAGAGTTACCTTTGTCAATTCGGAGACCATCCCTTGGCAGTACTGCAAGCTGCGCGCCACCTCATGCTCGCTACTGCTGGCGACATCGTCGAGCGGGCGAAAAGTGGCGAGCGGAGGTTGCTTCACAAATGTCGTTATGGCTTCTGTTGAGGGTTCTTGACACGCTGCACCGGCTCGAATTGCTAAAACAAACAAATTTTCATCAAACTCGTGAAGCTTACCGAGTAGCCATCGTCGAAACAAGAGGCGGAGGATGTAGGCGCCCACGCCGACGCCGACAACTATCCCAGCCCTCTTCAGCACCACCGCTTTCAGGCTGCCAATTGTCGTCGACATTTTTCATACGTTTCGAAGGGGCGTTCGAGTCGAAAACTGGAAAAGTTTTTGGAACTGTTTTGGCACGCGCTGATCAGCGTTACGATGTGTAATGCGGACAGCGGCGTAGTCTATAGAGGAGTTTCAATAAAAATTGGTATAAATTTGTAAGTTTTCAACTACAAATCGCGAAAAGGCGTTAAAACAGCGTTTGCACACGGTTTTTAACCATTCCTAAGCATAAAAACTTGTACATTTTACTAAAAATCGAACTTAGGCAGAAACACTGACCCTTTACACCCAAAAATCACCAACAATTTCAGTTTTTTAACCGTTTCTGAACTTTTCTTACTTCTAATAGCGTTAATAGTCAGTATAAAACACCGTATTTAAAGCGCACGTTCAGGGAGGGGCCGTGTACTCGCCCCAACGTGTACACCCTATGGACGTAGGGACCGTTGACTAGCTGTGGCTGACTGGTATCCAGCCGCGCCTCCCGAGCGGGGGGCCCGGTTTCGACCCCCGGCCGCGGCAAAAATCTTTGCTTTTTTCCAAAAAAACATCCCTGAACGTGCCCTTTAATGACTAGTTCATGGAAATACCAGAGGAAAAACCCATAGCAACAACGGTACAATTCGGATAGGCGGGGGATTTTAGGCGGGGGGGAACCGAACTTTTTTCCGCCCAAGCCTATATTTTTTATATAAATAGTGGAAGTGTTTCTAAATTGTTTATAGCTATTCCTAAACATAAAAACTTTACAAAACTTAATTAAAAAATTTAATTTTAGGTCGAAAAATCCATTTTTTCGGCCCAAAATGACCAAATTTTCGACTTTTTCAAGCGTTTTTCTAACTTTTTAAAGAGTTTTTCCGATTCAAATAGCTTAAATTTTGCTAAAGACGATGTGAAAGCACTTTATATTTGATTACTATCCCCACCAGGGCCGACAAAAAAAAAGTTGGTTTCCCCCCCACCTAAAATTTCCCCCCCGCCTATCCGAATTGTACCAATTGACTGAGCCGCGCGTGCTTTCGCAATGTCATTCACTGAAACATTGAAATTCTGGTGTCAGGCTGGTTCTGCAGGACGATAGGGTACTATTCAAGTTGGCGTGGGAGGGGGCAAAATTCTTGAGGTCATTTTTGGGCTACTTGATCAATTTTTCGCTGGCTTAGGCTTAGTTTAACTTAGTAGTGGCTTGGCTTAGGCTTAGGCTTGGGCTTAGCCTAAGGTTTAGTACCTCGTCCTTAGCTTGGCTTCGTGACAGCTTCACTGTTTTTCGCTTCGACTTAGCTTTGTTCAAGCTCAATTTAACTGTGCTTGGGCTTAGCTTAGGAGTTGAGTATTCCGCTGGATTAGCCACCAAAAATTGACCAAGTAGCCCAAAAATGAGCTAAAAAATTTTTGCCAGCGGACTACGCAAGTATTGTAGGAACAACTGGAACTTCAGTAGTGCGATTCATTGAAACCGTGAATTTTTCCCATGTAATGTTTGCATTAAATTATATATTTCGGATTTTCGTATTGCCAGATTTTGTTTTTAAAACTAAACTGCGGCAGCTGGGGGAAAACATTTTTTTTCAGAACTTTTGCTCTATATTTTGATGCAATTTATGGAGCCAAAGTTGCGAAGCACGGATTAGGCCAGTCCGGCTCACTTCAGTGGCACCATTAGTTAAAGCATTGATTTTTTTTTCATGTGAATAGTGTTTAGGCCACTTTTCATTGAATTTAATCACATTTTTTAATTATTTTAATTTATTTTTGGGTTTATCGGAGGAAACCACCGTTTTTAAGGATCCAATTTTTTAATATAAATCGCGGCAAAGTTCATAAACTATTTTTTTCATTCCTAAACGTAAAAACTTTCAAGTTTTTATTGACAAACAGATGTGAAAATTTTTCCAATTTGTATAAACAAATATAAAAATATAGATTTTTCGACCAAAATATGCCGCTTTTCCATCAAAACTTTTAAACGTTTTTTAATCGGTTTTCCACTGGACATGTCGTTACATTTTAATAAAAACACTTTAAAATGACTTACTATGAAAAATCGGCCTCCACCCGATGATGCGAAGCGCCTGAATTTGCATGAATTCTGGATATGCAGTTGTCATTCTTTTATGAATTATTTATTTTTTAATAACGAGATCAAAATCCAAACAAAAGAAAATACAAAAAACAATGTAATGGAATATCGCAAATTACAAACTAGTAAATTAAAAAAAATCCTGAAAGGCACCGGGGGGATGAAATGAAAGCTTATGCAAATTTGATGAAGACTTGAGCTTTTTGTAAATGTTTTGGGACCGGTATTAATAGTTGGGGGGAACATTGAGCAAAACACCTGAAGAATTAGGCACCGGGAAAAGCCGAAAAAACGTAGTTTTGAGAGGAATGCAACGGGAATACGGTAGCTTTTAAAAATCCTGAAAATGTAATACTGGAAATAGACAGAAAAATACAACATAAAAAAAGTCAGTAATCGGTGTAAAATTCAGCACAAATGATAAAATATAGAAAAAGCGCCGTTCTAAGATAAATCCGACGGGAATACGGTATCTTTTAAAAATCCTGGTGAGGAAATACAGAAAAAAGCCTACAGCAATCGATATAAAATTCGCCAAATTGATCAAATATAAAAAAATATGGTTTAGAGAAATTCAACGAGAATACGGTAGATTTTTCAAAAAAATCATGAAAAACGACAATACAAAAAAATACATCAACAGGGAAAATTTTAAAAGCAGTGATCGGTGTAAAATTAGAGCGCAGAAGGTGAAATTAGAGTCAACATTTTTTCGCAATATTTTTTGATTTTCAGAAACATAATTTTTCCGGGAATTGTTTTCAGAAATTTAGAGATTTTAGCACCCGACGGCACCTCGTTTAAACGCGACAAAATCGATACGGTAGGATTTTACAATTTTCGGAGAAAATAGCAAATTATAATTAAAGGGACGGGTCAGCCAAATTTATGCCATTTAATTTTGAAACATCGAAAAATGGGATTCATTTTAATGCATCTATGATGAAAGTCCAATTCAGTTTAAACGACTAATTTTATTGGATTCTTGCGAGAAACACGTTTTTTAAAAAGTTGGACCTCGGTTTTCGGTATTCTGGAAAGCCACAAATGTCGACATTATGAATTTCGGCATTATTAAGTTGCGACCATTCTACAGTAACCCGCTAAATCGGTGTTGGTTCAACGGTGCGTAATGGGTTGTGTGTCGGCATTTTGATGGCAACATCGTAGGGTGGAGGCGGATCGGACGGGACACCGCAAATCCACAAATCGGCGGCTAGCGTCTCGCTCATCATCGAGTCTGAATTAAATGTTATAGAGCTTTATGACGCTTTGAATATGATTTTTTAAAATTTTCTTAATTGGTTTGTTGCCCGGCTTCTTATATTATTTAATTTATTAACAGCATTTTTGTAATTTTGGATTGTAAACAGATCTTCCGATAATAACAGGGCTGATTTATCATCTGTTTATCGACAGAATTCTATTAATTAAGCTGGATATATTGCTTTTAATACGTAGCACTGCCTCTAAAAAATTAGGTTTCAAAAAATTAACGGTTACAAGCGGTTTTCGGCAGCCTAATGCGCTGCTGACATTCGTTGATCCGAAACGCGCGCCACCTGGCTCTCCCCGGGGACAGGGGGTATAAAAAGGGCGCGCCCCGCCGTCCCCGATACAGCGATGATTCGTTACCATCTTTCGACTGAAGACACTGATGTCAACCCCTTACTTGCTGAGCTGACCCTTTTTGCTAAAATATATTTTTTGGTACTGGACTGTTAGCGGGGGGGGGGGACAGAAGCAATATAAAATTCAATAGCATTCCGCCTTATAACGAAATCTAAACCAGTTTTTAATCAATTTTCAGATACGAAAGCTCAGAAAGATTATCAAGATTTTCGAAACTTGTGAACTTTTTGGATAAAAAAATATGAAAAACTACCAAAAAAAAATCGAAAGTTGCTAATGTCAACGTTTTTAAATATTTATATATTCTTCTATTTATATATTTCGGAAAAAGACTCGAAAAATACATTTTTATTATCAACCTAGAGAAAATCACACCCCCGCTAGTCGTCCAGTACAGCTTTATTAGCGCTTGAAATTACATTACATACTACCAGCATATTACATTTCCTTATCCTTTCGAAAAATAAAATGCACCAACTAAATTGTTTTTGTATTGACCATAATTTTTAGGGCTACCTTTTCTTTTTATTAAACCACCACCCACAATTTTTATTAATTTCTTATTCTCGGAATTACTCAAAAAAGAATTTATACATTACAATATTCTAAAAATTCTCGAGTTTTTAATGTTTCTCGCTATGGGTACTCCCTCACCTTGCGTCGTGGAACTTCTGGAGCGTCGCGTAGTCGTGTCGCTGACGCTGTCCACATATTGGCTGTAGATTCGGCAGCCGAACGTGATGAGGAATACGACGAAAAATAGGCCAATCGTCACGCCGGCCGCCACGCCAGAAGTTACCGTTGGTTGTCCTGGAAAAGGCAACGCTTAGAAGCCACAGTAACTATGCTTTTTATTGCGGTTTTTATGTAAATTTTAGGGTATGTCTTAATCTGTTTCTAAGCTATTTCATTCGAAGCACTATTTGAAACTAAAAACTGCTAACTTTAAGTTAAATTTTCACAAGGACGCTAAGCGTACTTCAACGATTTTTTGATGCACTTGATGTGCAATCATTGTTCCAAAATTTTCATTTTTTACGAGCCAGATGATTAAAACACTGATTTTTGAAGTCACGGTTTGCGGAAAAATATACATTTCTCACGTTTCCAAAAATTGCGATATGGGCTTGCCCGAAAGGAAAGAAAATCAGATGTGTGGCGAGTCAACGTTCGATTAAGGTCTTCTCTAGAACTTTTTATAGATCGATTCGAAACACCTTTTTCAGGGAAAACATCCCGATTTTTAGGGCATCCAGGCGAAGGGCGCCGTCTCCTTTATTTAAATACAATGCGTTAAACTACCAATACGCTAAATTCCAAAACCCACTTTAAAAGACTACACAAGCTTACAAAACGTCGCTTATAGAAAGTCAAATCAAAAGCAAGCCTTTTTTGCTGCAGTTGTGCTTTTTAAATTTTGGCTCTTCAGCCAAGTCCAAAATTAGCTTTGGCTCGCCTCTTTCCCCCTCAGGGAGGCAAGTGGTTGTCCGTATCCGTTTCCGGAAATGGACGCGGTCCTCAGCGGAGTACCACCCTGAAAGGGGGTAAACCGTTCTTCCCGCTCTCCACTCGCCTCAGACCCAATCATCGGTGGGTGCGAGGTGTCGCAATTTAGTGGGTATAGTGAAATGCATACTATAGAAATGATCCTATGAAGTATGATTTCAAAAATGCTCGGTTGGTGGGGGGATTTGTGCAGAAGAGGTGGGCCAGGTGGGGGACGGGTGGGGAAGGAGCAGTGGGCATGCGGAGAGCACACAGGGGCCGTCGGACAGGGAGGGCAGAAAGGGAAGGGAAGACTAGGCTGGGGATCGCGGGTATTTTTTTCTATTTGTATCAAATAGGGATTATAAATAGAGCTTGTAGTTATAATTAAAACGAACTAATGACAAAAACTAGATAATATATTTTTAAAGTTAAATTGTATGGAAAATCATGTGTCTGGAATGCAAAGCCAAATTCTTTAGTAACAAGGCACATGTAGGAAACATCAAATTTTTACCATTTGTACGGTTGCTATTTTATATTTTAAGGAAATATTTAATAATGCGAAAATTTTGCGAATAGCTATTAAAGGTCTAAAATTTAATTATAACATTAAAAAATCCCTCTTTATGGACTATAACCGTAGTTAACAACTCTTTCTGAAAATCCGTAAAAAGCTAAATCACAAGTACATCCATTGCATGTCATTATGCAACTAGAATCCCACCGCTCCAGTTTGTTATATGAAACATTAAATCCGTGACATTTTTTAATACATTTAAAGTACCATATTATCAGCCTGAATATTAATATAGCTTGAGTGCAGGGATTTAATACGTCGAAAGGTATATAAATCTTATTTTAATACGCATTAAAAAGCTTACTTTCAGCGCCGTCGGGCTCGTAGTACTTGTCCCAGGTGACCGGCTTGTAGTTTTGGTACGGCCACAGCGACTGCATACCTGAAATTAGGAAAAAAATTGGAGCTAAGTTTATTAATGGATAACAATTGGGTTGATTTTGAAAAGGCTGTTTACTTTTTCTTCATTTGAATAAAATTAGTTTTTTTAAAATAATGATGAAGTTCTACATTTGAGTACGGCGTTTAATTTCGACACCAGCTGATTTTTAGATGAAACACATTTCTCAGAACTTTATGATCGTGTTTTTTTGTTTCAGGTGACATTTTGTAATGACGCAAAAAAAGATTGAATAATGAATTAGCGGAAAAAACCCAATAGTTTTTGATTCACAGAAATTGAAAATTCTTCATACATTTGTAACCAAAAAGACTAAAATAAAGCTTCCCTTGTAGGAAAAATTGAAACGTCAAAATTTTAAAAATTAGGTGAATGTAAGTTTTCAGTTTGTAAACAATACCTTAAAACACAATAATCCTAAAATTTAGCCTTATCCAAAAATTTTTGGAGTACAAGTCAAGACTAGCCTTAAAGTTAGCACGGAAGTGTTTCACTTGCTAATATTAATGAGTCGCAACATTCAGTAATTTTGAAACGTTTATTTCGTTCTTAACGGTAATTTGAAACATTAAAGCATAAAAATTTTTATAAGTAATTTTATAGAATCCTGACGTGTTATTGCATTTAAAGTATAACAAAAGCTCAAAAAAACCGAGGTTCTGGACTGTTAGCGGGGGGGGGCAGGTTTTTTTTAATAATCCCTTTAACCAAATAACCATATTATAGCATTTTACACCTTCATATGAATAACAAAGTTCATCAAAAATTTAGCGTAATGTATGAAAAATGGACAAAACATTTCAAAATAAATAGTTACAAACCCCCCCCCCCCGCTAACAGTACAGGGCCCTTAAAATATGCAAAAAATTAATAAAAACGTACCAGGTGATGAAATGTCTACGGTAGATGGTGGTGGTGGCTGGGGGTACGGTAATCGAGACGGGCCGGGTTGTTGTTGCTGATCTTTCAGCCCGGTAATATCAAAGGGCACGTCGGGCGGTCGAGCTGCATGCGAAGCCACTGAAAAAACGTCATCAAAATATAGAATATTTTAATCATAAATCTTCGAATTTTTAAAGAATTTTAATTTCATTAAAAAAGGCTATATATAATTAAAATCGGAGTTAATACAATCATTATAATTTTCAGATAAATAAACCTCCTTCGCCCAACCGGAAAAATTTAATGTTGCAAAAAATTTTAAGGAACAATGAGGCATTTATTTTGACTATTGTACTTTAGCAACGTAAAATAAAAACGATTTTTAACATCAGTTTCTTGCAAGTGTAAAAATATAATTAATTCAATATTTAATTTACTAAATTATCTCAAAAAATGAAAAATTGAAGGAAAAATTATACAAGATCGAACGGCGAAATATTTTATGAGACCAATTATGATAGCTTTGATGGTTAAATGTTTCATAAAAAGAATAGGAAAGAGGCGACAAAAGTCGCCTTAATGCGCTGACCACTCGCTGTGCTTTATTTTCTATTAAATATAGAAGTTTTCCATAAGATCAGCACCAAATTCAGCAGAGTAAAAATTAGAAATTTCCGATTTATCTGGATTTTTTCAATGCTGGCAATTTCATGTTTTAAACTTCAGCTAAATAAAGATGGCCAAAACCAGAAAAGGCCTTGATTCGAGCGAAACATTCAACACTTTTCAAGGATATCGAAGCTAAAAAGGAAACGACAAAAATGAAGAAAAGGAGCAAAACACGAAAAAATAAAAAATATGATAAATATAGGGTTAAAATTAATCTATCTCGCTAAATAATTCTCTTATTCTAAACATTTCTTAAAAATGAGAAATGTTTCAATAATGTTACTGGCGTCATCAAAAAATTTTCTTGGAATTTCTTCAAACATTGCTTCTCTTACTGTCAAGAAGAACTCGAATCATAATAATAGATCGTCAGTAATATTTTTCCTCCACCCAATGAGTAATTTAAAAAGGCAAAAAGGGTTGTGCTAACCCGAAACATAATTTTAATGGGTTTGCGCCGAGAGAATGTATTTTTTTTAGAATCGAAAGTCACATAAATCGATTTTTAAACGACGCCATTGACTTGAAAAGCTTTCGATATTCATTTTTTATCTCCCGCTCTCTTTCTCTCTCTTTCTCTCTCTCTCTCTCTCTCTCTCTCTCGTGTTCTCTCTCTCTCCCTCTCCCCTGTTTTTCAAAACATTTTATCGGATCGGCTCGGCAAGCCGTCCGTATCCCCGAGGAAAAGCAAAACATAGAAATTGACAGGTGAGCCGGCCTGTGTGGAGAGAGCAAAATTGAAAAAAACGGAAAAATGGAAAAGCTCGGGCTTGAGAACGAGGTCTAAATTGGGGATAAACCTCGGCTAGACCTGATCAAAACCTCGATAGATTTTTTGCAACAAAATGTTTTAGAAAATTACAGGGATTGGGAAGGAAAGTTGCCTTTAATCTTCGAATTAAAGTACCAAAACTAAAACGAAAAGAAACACTAAACAAAAATTGACACTGCATTAAAAGACGACAATCGGAATCCGAATCCGGAAAAAGAATGAAAAAATATAAAAAAATGCTGGAAATATTCGCCGCAAAATCGATAAAAAGGATAAACTATCATGTTTTAAATGTGTTTTATAGGGTGTTGGCTTAAAATTGGAATAACCGCTTATAGCAATTCTTCAGAACCACTCGAACCACTTTTCAAAACAATATGTTTCGCTGCAATTAGGTATTAGAATTATTCAGTTTTTTGCAATAATGACTAACCACTGAATCGATACCAAAAAGTTTAATTTGAGGAATTCGATGGAGTCGAGAATCAAGAGCCTTATAAATTTGAGAAATTAAAAAACGATTGTTTGAGTTTTGCATAAAGTTATTAGCGGATGATTATTTTACAAAATTATCGAAAAAGCGCGCTAAAAATTTGTTCCAGCTTTCTCTAAATTTCCAGAAGTTTGATGTTGTGCAATTTCTCAAACTCAATAACACTAGAAAAAACGTACAAAAAACAGTAAAAATAATGCCGAGGGGTCGGAGGGCATTAGAGAGAGAAAGTGAGAGGGGAGGGGGTTGGATTCTCGGCTATTGTATTCTAGCTGAAGAGAGAGAGAGAGAGAGAGAGAGAGAGAGAGAGAGAGAGAGAGGGATTCCCCGAATTGGAAAAATTAATGGAAAACGGAAAATAAATACCGAAATTCGCAGCAAAAACGCTGAAAGAGGCATCAACTGTCATTTTTCAAAATGTGTTTTATAGGCTGTTGGCTTAAAGTTGGAATAACCGCTAATAGTCATTCCTCAGAATCCAGGTCAAATCTGAAACCAGAGAAATGCATCATATTTTGCCGCCTTGTTAGAAATGATGTTTCGTTGGAATTAGGTATTAGAGTTATTCAGTATTCGGGAGTACGACTAACCGCGAGACATCAAATAGTTCAATTTAAGAACCTCGATGGAGTTGATAATTAAAGGGGATCCGAATCTGGTCCACACCCTGTAGCTTTGATTCCTCGCAGATAGCCAGATGCAACGGCGCCGCATGATCTTTTGCCCCATTTGGGACGTGAAAACGATTAAATTCCAGGATTCTGACGTTATTTCTGTAATCCTCATCAAATTTTGATCATTCTAAACGTTTTAATGAGGAAATTGATTAGAGAATCGGCGAGATCGAATGATTGGGTGCCTTACAAAGCATTACGACATGTAATCGTCGCTGACTGAAAATGTCGTTCTCGCTTCGAGTACATTTCCGTTTTACTCAAATATTTTACTTTTTTTTGGCAACGAAATCACTTTTGTGGTACTTCTGGGCAGCAGCCCTCGCGTTTTTGACCAGTACGTCCAATCCCCGCACGCACGAATTTCGACTTCCGAGCCCCTTTAAAAACCTAATAATTCGAGAAGTTCAAGAAGAATTGTTTCAATTTTGCGGAGAGCTTGAAGCGAGTGGTTCTTTGACAAAATTATCGAAAAAGCGTTCCAAAAACGATGTTCCACCTTTCTACAAATATCCAGAAATTTGTATTAGTTTAATTATGTTTTCATTCCCACAACCAATAACACTAGAAAAATCGTACAAAAAACGTAAAAATGATGCCGAGGGGTCGGAGGGCATTAGAGAGAGAAAGTGAGAGGGGAGGGGGTTGGATTCTCGGCTATTGTATTCTATCGGCAGAGAGAGAGAGAGAGAGAGAGAGAGAGAGAGAGAGAGAGAGGTACGGACAGACAGACAAACAAGGCATCCAAACAACCTTCCAAAGAAAACAGACAACATCAAAAACGAGGAAACGGTTTTTTTACAATTTTTATGTTTGAAAAAATACTCAAAAGTAGCAGTAACAGAACGTTACAGTAAAATAACAGCAAAAGAACGTTTTTATAGTAACATATTCTTCCAGAAATTCTTTTTCCAGAGATTTTCAGAAATTCCAGATATGGTAAAAGCGAAAAACTAATTTTTAAAATTAAATTTGCAATAACTTTTTTATTTTTCCTTATTGTAAGCTGGTAGTAAAATCCTTGGTGGAATTTTTGACACTCTATAGAACGGTGTTGAGAGAAATTATTGCAAAAATCGTAAAAATGTGGAAAAATAGCTTTCCGATAATGTCCGATGATTCCGATAGATCTATCTGGAACCGTCGTTTAAAGCAGGTTTTGGCCATAACCCTTTCATATGACATTATCCTGAGGTGTAATTAAAATTCTGGGACATTTTTTGAAGTTCTATTGAATGACGGCACAAAAAAACGTCGAAAAATACCGAAAATATTTAAATTTTTTCAGGCCTACGGCCTGGGCGGTAGAGTAAATCCTTGCCTGAATTTCAATTTAAAGGTAAAATTGGTCAATCAGTCTCATGATACCTCGGGATTTCGTATCTGTCGGCATTACGAAAGTTGGGCACGGAAATTTTTGGTGGGTCGAGAGCCGGCAGGAATTTGAGGGAAATCAAAGGGGAAAGAGGAAAGAGAAAGAGAGAGAGAGA